ATTGGATCTCACCCACCACTATCACTATCAGGTCCACCTACTAAATAACGTGGGTTATTTCTCTGTTCTCTAGTCCTTCATCATTAAGATGAGAATAATATTACCTGTCTTTGGGGATTGTGGTGATTATTAAAGGAGATAATATGTATAATACATGTGGGCGTGTGGTTAACAGTTTGCTTATGAAATAACAAGTATGGGTTTATGAATTATTTCTGTTATAATTTAAATCCCTATGAGAGAATTCAGAAATTATGAGAAAATAGAATCTTTTATGCTAGAAAGATATCTACATCTAGTTGCAATATTTAGCTATTCAGTTGTTTTGGTCAGACTAGATGGTCTGGAGGTGGGGAGATCTCACCCACAACAAAACTGGGTGCTGCATAAAACACATTTTAATCAGTTGTTGACCTGGCAGCAAATAAGGGAAATCTTTGAAGCAAGGGGGACACTGGGGGAGAAGTGTTGGCATGGGAGTCTGGAGAAAAGTTTGATCAGAAATTAAGCCATTGAGTGATGAGAAGGTGATCACACCAAAAAGGCAAGTTCCCCTGAGAACAGGTGTCCAAATCAGCCTTATGCATGAACTGGTCCTTGAACAGTAACCAAGGTTGGGGAGCTGAACTTGGGACTCCAGGATCAACCTGGGGAACCTGGAAAGGAACTGGCTCCCTAGAAATATAAGCATAAATCTTCTGGGGAAAGCAGTCTCAAATTAGGACCCCAGATTTTTATAGATTAAGGTTCATCAGATATAAGCTTCAACCAAAGACCACCAAATGCATAAGGAAGCAAACCACTATGAGAGTCAGCATAAACAATAAACAAATTAAAATTTCTAGAACTTTTAGATAGTAGAATTACCAAATACAAAATATACAGTAACTTAATAAATAGCAAACAGTCAACTAGAGACTATCAAAAATTACCAATCAGGTTTTTAAAAAATCAAATGGAATCTATAGAAATGAAAAAATATGTATTCATTGATCATTTTAAAAATGCAGTGTATGAGTAAACAACCAACTAACTACATTGAAGAAAGAATTAGTGAACTGGATGTAGATCTGAAGAAGTCTGTAGCCATTTATCGCAAAATACAGAACAGAGACTCATGGATATAGAGAAAAATATTGGGAAGTTTGGGATATAGAGGATAAAGGTAAAAGGTTTAACATATATCTAAACAGAGTGCCGGAAGGAGAGAATTGTGATGACACAGACAGGGCTATATCTAAAGAGAGGTAAGTTGAAAATTTGCAGAAGTAAAATGAGGTTAATTTGAAGAAAACTGAAGACAAAGGGAGTATATTAAAAAGTAGAGATTTTTAAAAATGGGCAGAAGACCTGAATAGAATCTTTTTTTCCAAAGAAAATACTAGATGGCCATTAGACACATGAAAAGATTCTCAACATCACTTATCATCAGAGAAATGTAAATCAAAACCACAATGAGATACCGGCTCACACCTGTCAGAATGGCTACAACCAAAAACACGAAACAACAAGTGTTGGCAAGGATGTGGAGAGAAAGGAACCGTCGTGCATCATTGGTGGGAATGCAAGCTGGTGCAGCCCCTGTGGAAGACAGTATGGAGTTTCCTCAAAAAGTTAAAAATAGAGCTACCCTATGGTCCAGTGATTCCATGACTGGGTCTTTATCCAAAGAATACAAAAACACTAGTTCAAAGACATACATGCTACAATACCCAGTTTATGACAGGATTATTTACAGTAGTCAACTTACGGAAGCAGCCCAAGTGTCCTTCAGTAGATGAATGGATAAAGAAGATGTGGTGTATATTATATACAGTGGACTGTTACTCAGCCATAAGAGGATAAAATCTTGCCATTTCCAGCAACATGGATGGAGCTAGAGGGTATAAAGCTAAGCGAGTAACAAACAGACTCTTAAATACCAAGAACAAACGGGTGGTTGCCATGGGGGAACCTTTAAATGGGTAAAGGAGATTTAGAGGTACAAACCTCCAGCTACAAAATAAATGTCACAGGGATGGAAAGCACAGTACAGGAAACACGGTCAACAATCTCGTAGTTACGTTGTACGATGACAGATGGTGACTGCACTCACCATGGTTGAGCACTGAGGGATGTACAGATTGACAAATCACCAGGTTGTACATCTAACCAGTAATAACATCGTGTGTCAACTACACCTCCATAATAATTTTTTTAAAAAAGCAGTCAGAAAGGAAAGAAAAATTGTCCAAAGTGTAACTGCAAGGTCAACAGCAATCTTGGAAGCTGAAAGACAGTGAGGGGGTACCTTTGAAATAGGGAAAGAGGGAGCCCCTGGGTGGCTCAGTGGGTTAAGGCTCTGCCTTTGGCTCAGGTCATGATCTCAGGGTCCTGGGATCGAGCCCCACATCGGGCTCTCTGCTCAGCGGGGAGCCTCCTTCCCCCTCTCTCTCTGCCTGCCTCTCTGCCTCCTTGTGATCTCTGTCTGTCAAATAAATAAATAAAATCTTAATTAAAAATATTAAAAAAAAAGAAATGGGGAAGGAGGAATAGCTATATAGTTACAATTGTGGACCTAGCAGTATTATCTTTCAAGTATAAGAGAAAAAGACACGATATTTTCAGACAAATGGAAACTGAAACATTTTCATCATCACCTACCAACATCACCTACAGGAAAGGAATTTTCTCAAGGATTACTTTAAGAAGATGGAAAATGAATCTTTAAAAAAAAAAAGTCTCAAAGAAGAGTAAGCGAAGAAAATGATGAACATATAAGTAAATCTAATACAGATTTACTTCATAAGATGGTGACAATTACGACATCTAACTTGGGAAGATGTAATATAAAAAAACGAGCTAAAATACAAGAGAACACATTCTCATGTAGGTTAGGAGATGCACAGTGAGGGTTAACGTTCTAAGGATTTCGTCCGTGTGAAGACTGAATGCCAGTTTAGTGCTATGAGCTGAATGCCTGTGTCCCCTCAGAATTCATATGTTAGGGACGCCTGAGTGGTTCAGTTCGGGTCATGATCCCAGGGTCCTGGGATCGAGCATCATATGGGGCTCCCTGCTCAGTGGGAAGCCCGCTTCTCCTTCTTCCTCTGCCTGCTGGTCAGCCTGCTTGTGCTCTGTCAAGTAAACAAATAAAATCTCAAAAAACAAACAAACAAACAAAAAACCTTTCTTTAAAAAAAAAAAAAAAAGCATTCATGTGTAAAGCCCTAAGGCCCAATGTGATGGTGTTTGGAAATGGGGCCTTTGGGAGGGAATTAGGTTGTGAGGTGGAGCCCTGGTGAATGGGATTAGTGCCCTCCTAGGAGAAGACACATGAGAGAGATGATCTCTCTTTCTCCCACATGAAGACAGAGTGAGAAGCCAGCCATGTGTAAAGCAGGAAGAGGGCCCCCACCCAGACCCCGACCCCACGGGCACCCTTCCAGCCTCCCGCACTGGGAGAAATGTTTCCTGTTCAAGCCACCCAGTCTACAGCATCTGGCACAGCAGCCCAAACTGATGAAGACATTTGGGGAAATAACGGGTTCTCTTCAAATATTTGAAGAGCCATATATGGAAGAAGGGATGAACCCAATTGTGTATGGACCAAAAAAGATGAGAAAGAAGAAGGTGATTCTTTTCTGCCTGCTTTGTGACAGAAGTGCCCAGAGAAGAAGTGGGCTTTCAGAGTGGGCGCTGGGCTCCGCAGCCCTGGAAGCTAGCTGCACCCAGTGTTAATAATGTGGGCTTTGGATTTTGGCCCTGGTGGGAGGTTGCACGAAGCTCTGTATAAAATCTCTTCCAACTTTTGAGAATCTATAGCTCTGTGAGGGTCAGGAGCTCAGATCCAAAGAACCAGATGTTGAGAACTCTTAATTTCTACAACAGCTTTTTTCCTTGTATCACTTTGTTCCTGGGCATTGTGGAGCTAGAATTTGCAACTGTGTATTTTAGGACTCAGCACACCTGGATACCCTTCCTCCAGAGGTCAGCATTGGCAACACCCCCGCTTCCCCGCCCCAGGATGCGTTCCCCACCCCACTGATCCTAGCTTAGGTGCCCCACTCACTCCGTCTTTCCCCAACCCCAACACTTCCCACAGGACACTGCCGTGACTGCTTCACCGTCAGCAACTTGACAGTTATAGTAGGTTTCCTAGGGCTACAGTAGCAAGTGCCACAAATGGAGGGCGGGGCTCTTAAAGTGATGGAAAGGTATTGTCGCACCATCTGGAGACTAGAAGTCCAAAATCAAGGTGTCAGCAGGGCCAGCTCCCTCCGAAGGCTCCAGGGGGGCACACCCCCCTCTTCCTGCCGCCCGTGGTTGCTGGTTCATAACTGGAGGTCGTATCCCTCAGATCTCTGCCGCTGTCTCCACGTAGCCTTCTCCCCTCTGTGTCTGTGTCTCTGTGTGTCTTTCTCCTCTGCTTAGAGGGACAGCAGTCATGTTGGATTTAGGGTCCCCCCCCCAATTCAGTATGACCTCATCTTAATGTAGTTGTATTTTCAAAGGTCCTGTATGTATTTAAATCACTTGATCTACATTTGCCATGAACAATAAAAAACAGAAGACAGATTAGTCCATTTCATATAGCCTGTGCTTTTTGGCATGTTTACCAGACTCTAACTTTGGTTTCTCTCATCTCTTGTAAAACTTGGTTCCCTGATACTTGAATTTTTTTTTTAAGATTTATTTATTTGAGAGAGTGAGCGAGCACGTTAGCAGGAGGAGATGCAGACGGAGTGGGAGAATCCCGAGCAGACTCCCCCCCGCCCTCCGCCGAGTGCCTGAGATCAGGACCTGAATGGAATTCAAGAGCTGGACCCTCAACTGAGCCCCCCAGGCACCTCCTGACACTTGAATTCTGATTCTCACTTGCCCTCCCGATTTAACCCCCAAATAATCTTAGTATCAGAAAATAAAGCAAATAAAATGTATCCCTAATCTTTTTTTTTTTTTTAATTCAAACTTAACAACTAAAGAAAACACTTGCATTCTCTCTGCCTTTTGCCTTCCAGAGCAGTGCCAGCAACCCCCAGTCTCCTTTCGCTCAGATGCCCGGTGAGTACTTGAGCTCAAGGAGCAGGTGATTAATTCCCGTTTGCGTTCAACTCAGGCTCTGGGGTTTCCATTCTTTTATAACTGCCTTATGGCACTTTGGAAATTTTACTTTTTCAAACTAGGCATTTTTAAAATGTAAAATCAGTGAAGACAGACTTAATTCAGTCATTCCTGAATTCAGAGTTCATTCTGTCTTGAAGGCAGCCTTTCCATCACTTGCCCAGCAGAAGCTTACCAAGCAGAAACATAACCATTAGGCCCTTGATACAATTTTAAAATGTATAAAATTCCAGCACTGTGTTCTGACAGATTGTGCACCTGCTTTAAAACAAGAGAGAGGCCGGTGGGCAGATGGAGGAACTACCATTTATTGGGTGCTCTCTAGAGGTCAGGCGCTTAGATAAGCATCTGGTCTTCATTTCAGTGCATATGTCTCGTTACGCCCTCCCGCAGGGATGGGAAAGGGGCATTCTCGTTCTTAGTGACAGAGTTGGGGACTCCCGTGAACATGCGTGCACACGCACACACATACACACATACTCCTTTCAGAAGTGGCGCAGGTTTTCTCAGCAATCTCAGTAAGCTTCAGAGCTGGGTAAGAAGAGGAATGAGAACCACAGGAGATGCCGCTTATCTGAGTGTCTCGTGTTGTGTTTTCCAATCATGGTTACCATCCCTGGAATCTGCTCCCTTCTATAGAAGGACATTTTTGCAGCTTTTCTTACTATCTCAAATTATCCTTCCCCTTTTTAAGGAGAAAAAAATATATGCTGGAGAGAGCACAGGGTTTTTTTTTTTTCTTGGTGGTAGTTTTTATTCGGAAATTGGAAGTGAAGACGTGAGATCCTGGAAGCCTCGTTTACCTATTCTTCATTTTCTTTTCAGCCTTAATGAGTCCCATGGATATAAATTCATGGCATGAAACAGAATTTTTTCTATTGATATTAATTTTCCACGTGCACATGTTTTTTTCTTCTGTGAAACTATGCTTATGATGAAATCCCTAACCACAGCTTTCCAATTCACGAGCAGATTAGAAGTTTGGGGTTAGGGAATTTAAGAGGAGAGTAGAGTGAGTAGAATTTGATGGAAGTTTCTACACGGAGTTTTGATTTCCTCTGAATGAATGAATAGATTTACATATAATTGTTGAACCCAGTATTATCCTCCTGGATTTACAGCAAATGTGTAAGACACAAGCTCTGCCCCATGGAGGTGACAGGTGGTTTAGAAAGAGGGTTGTAACTCTGGTGTGGGAGTAGTGAGCATAACATCCAGCACCACACCGCGTGGCAAGGGCCAAAAAGCCGTGCGGGTAGAGTGATGTGTGACTGTGTCCCAGCAACCGGTGAGAAGGGTCTTCTCTCCCTGTGGACGAGAGAGCAGAGTGGGTGGGGACAGAGTCCGCAAGTGGCCCACTCTGGGGGAAGGTCAGAGAGGCACCTGCATCCTCTCCCAGCTCAGCCTTTCTGTGACCTCGGGGTGTAGATCTCAGCGAATCAGACCACATCCACCACCAGCTGGAATAATCAAACCATTCACTTGACAGAGCTACAGTCTACGTCCCTGAACGTGTTCTAAATGGTCACGTGTTTCCTGCTACAGCCGAGCTGCTGGGCTGGAAGGCTGCGGCAAACACCCCTCTTCCTTTATGGAACATTTCCACAGGCCTTGCCATAAATGAGATTCTTCTTAGCTTCCGCTCCTTCCCCTGTTTTCACCAAGGGAAACTTTTCGTGTGAGGTATTCTCTTCCCCAACTCTCCCAGGGCCCAGGTGAACTGAGTCAGGGATTCGGCATGGACACAAGAGGGCAGCAAATAACACGAGACTCTTCGAAGCCAGAAAACACATTTTTTGAAGTCCTCTGATTCGGTGGCACAGACGCTCCACCATCCCAAAGCAGGTGAGCCATCATGCTGCCTGCCGGGTACAAGACACATGTCAGAAGGTCAGTACACAAAGGAGTAGGAGCTACTCTGATGTGGCGTGGGGTTACAGCACCACAAGGTTACAGACGCCCAGAAGCAGCCTGTTGTTAACAGTCCTGTGATATGGGGACAGAGCTCGGACACTGAGAAAAAGACATTTTCTTTTCCCTTTAGGACCAGACTTTTCCTAGAGCAGTAACTGGAACACAGGAAATGCACAGTGTGTTGAGTGAGTGGGTGAGAAGAGTGTCCGCACCACGCCCAATGAACTGCTCTCCGAAGGCAGAGTGAAGCCGAAACACATTGGTTATTTGGGCTGGACGGGTTAGAAGAGGCAATGCAGCAATATTTAATGCTTTTCAAGACCTCTCTCTGTTTCAGTGTTTGCCCTGGTATCCGGCCCGCATTAGAAGACCATTTCCCTCGTGGAGAGTCTCAGCGGCCACAGACAGGCCCAGACTTCCCATGGGGACATTTTTGACGGTTTGTTTTCCGTTTGGCAACAGGTTCACCGGTAATGGGTTACTACGGGGTCAGAAGATCGTTCCTCTCTGACTCAGACTTCCACAACACCAGACAGCTCGCAAACGAGGTCTGCAGCTCAGGCCCAGCGGCCAAGCCCTTTGCCTGCGAGGCCCCCACAGGGCAGAGCCACCCGGGCCTCCTGGATTCCTACTTCCCAGAGCCCTACGGAGACCACCGGCCCCCCAGCCTGACCCCCAGCACCGGCTCTCTGTTTGGCGCCTCGCCCCTGCCGCCGCTCCTGCCGCCACCCTTCGCTGGGGACCCCAGCACGCACTTCATGCTTGTGAGTATGCCCGTGGTTCACGGCTCGGGAGCAAGGTGAGGCCCGGGATCGCGCGCACCTGGCCAGTCCCTGCGCCTGGGAACCGGGTGGAAGCAAGCTCTGGCTCACCCTGCGCACCCCCGAGGCTGCTGGGCCAGGACGCGCTCTGAGGGGCCTCCCTCAAAGGTCCCCACCCACCGTGATGGCGAGCGGGTCCATCCTTGGGCTCGGGAGGGGACGACCACACCGCAGGATCTCTACCCACTTTGTTAGTACTCTGCTAATCTTGCCAGATGTTCGCCCATCTTCCTCCCGCACACAAGGAAAGAGCACTGAGGTCCCATCTCCCACAGACCAGGCTGTACCCCGTCAGGGCTGCACATCAGGCCGTTTTCCCTCCCAGTCCCCAGGCCGCCCCTCCCACGATCTTTCTACCCTATAGAATCTGGTTCTCCCTCAATCCTAACAAAGAGGTGAGTTCATAGAGATCTGAAGAATACTAACACCCGTCTTAGAGAAAGCTACAAAGTCTTCAACTACAGGACTGAATCTCTAAAAATGGGACTAAGGGGGGGGGTAATTAACACGATCATGGAGTACCCGCCCCAAGCAGAACTTCCGTGTGCCTCTGTTCACTGAACACGTGCAACAGCTCCGGATAGACTTACTGAAGCCCCGTTTTACAGATGGACAAAGTGAGGTACTCAAAGTCAGGAACGGAGTACCGGGCACAGTCAGGGACTGAACCCAAACCTTTCTAGCTCCAAGCCTACGGAAGCTCCTACCTCTTGGCTCACGGAGGGCAAAAGCCCACTACATGGTTCAGAGACCCCCTCCCTCGTGGAGGAGCCGGAGCTGCCGTCCCCAGGGTGGAAAGGGCACTAGGAGCCCATGTATTGTGAGGCTCAAAAGGAAAGCAAGACATGGAATGTTGGAAATGGTAAAATGCTGTATAAATGTCCATTCTGTTGTTCTCTCATTTTACTCATTTAATGTTGTTTTCTGGGAAAAGGGACTGTAATAGATCTAGGGGGTCCAATGCTAGAGTCAGACACTGCTGGTGTCAAACCCCAGAGGGAGAGCTGCCTGGGAAGGAGGCTGGAACAGCAGAGGGGGGACACCGAGTCCGCCCTGGAAGCCGCGTCTACCAGCAGCCGGTGTTGGTGAGGAAATCTGTCTGCATCCAAGTGTCCCCTCGTGACTAACCCCAGGCACCTTTCCATTCTCCTCAGAGGGACTCATGGGAGCAAACAGTACCTGATGGTCTCAGCCAGCCCGACCCCGTGCTCACCGACACCCAGCAGACCCTGTCGCCCAGCGTGAGTTGTCTCTCCCAGCTGGAGTCGGGGAGCGCCACCCCGCACAGGAGCTCCAGCTGGGGGCCCCCCCTGGCCGGGGCTCAGCCCTACTCACTGCACGCGCTAGAGGATCTGTACCACGTGCCGGGGTACCCCACGCCACCCCCCTATCCCTTCACCCCTCTCATGACCATGTCCAACGACTTACCACACAAGGTGGTGCCCCTCTCCCTGGATGAGGGGGCAGACACGTCTGGACTTCAAGACCCTTCTTCATGGACCAAGGAAGACGGGAGCATGGCCTGGGGGTCGTACGAATGCCGTAGAGCTTACTGACGCGTGTGCCACGGGACTCCGGCCATGCTGGCCTCTGAGCTGGCTTCTGGATTTGGCAGATTGTTTTCAGGGTCTTTCCAGCTCATTTGGAACTGGACGTCCAGAACAGGCCATCGTGCCACCCTTTGTAGAGGGACCGCGGCATTTATTCGTAATCCTCCCTCCCACAGCCCCACTGAAATACAGCCGCACGTGAATTCAGGATATCAGGGACTATATTCTAGTGAGACACAGGCTACGCGTGTGGCATTGGAACTGTAGTAACCCATCACATTTCCGAATTTCTGTTACCTTTGAAATATCATCATTAGCACTCATATTTTTCTCAAATTACATTAAAAAGTTTGTGCAGATCATGAAATAAACTGTTCAGTTTTTCTTAGTTATAAACTAAGTGTGTTCTATAGTAAGAGAGAAAGCATAGGACATAATATAGATTAGGGCACATATAACAAAACTCATTTTATGCCATGTGATTTTTAAAGAGGAAAGTATTGGGGCACTTGGGTGGCTCAGTCAGTTGAGCAACTAACTCTTGATTTTGGCTCAGGTAGTGATCTCAAGGTCGTGGAATCGAGCCCCACATCAGGCTCTGTACTCAGTTCTCTCCCTCCTCCTCTGCCCCTCCCCCCTTTCTAAATAAATAAATGATAATAAATAAATGATAAATAATAAATAATCTTTTTTAAAATTTTAAAGAGAAAAATATTATATACATTTCTTCCTTAGTGACTTGTGAAGGCCCTGTAAAAATATAGCACCACATACAAATGTTTTATTGTCTTTAAAACAGGATGAGGGCAGGAGACTATGGCTTCATAAATACATAGCTTTGATTCTGCCCTAAAGTCTGGGATGTCCAAAAATGAGTCTTATCCAAAAAATGATATGAGCCCAAACTTTCTTTGATCCGTGGTAGCCTTAATCATGCCAGACATAGTTTCTCTGGTGGAAAACCTATAGTCATCAGAGTGGATTCATAAAATGGATATCCTGTAATGAAGTAAGAATAAATAAGGAAAATAGTGAGAGCAGAACTGGGCTGCTGGCCAGAAACAGCAGACCACAAAACACCAAGACGTACAGGGGCCTTGGAGCAGGACCTATGGCCAGGTGTGCACCAACAGCATGATACACAACACATACCATTTGAAGGAAGACCTTGCTGATGGCTCATTGGTTCAAAATGTACAGCTCTTACCATATATAAATGAAGAAATACATCTGACGCCTCCCTCTGTCTCATGTAAGTGTGATCGGGGTACATTCCTTCGCCAGTTGAGTTCACAAAGTAATTCCCATCAAGCCGTGGGCCTGGCTACAGGCCAAGCCAGTCATAAAAGCCTCACACACACTCTGACTTTGCAAAGTGAGAGTCGAGGCCCACAGGTCCCACCCCCACTCCTTCTACTACTTTCCTGACACCTTCCTTTCTATCTTCTCTTATCACATTTTCCTGGCCCTTCTGGTGCCTCTTGGCCCAACACTTTTTTTCTTCCATTTCTTGGGGGCCCTTTGCTCTCATTTCCACTGGTTGTCTAAAGCCACTCAATACAGTTTCCATCACACCCTCTGTTATAGTGTCCCATGCTCTACCATCAAACAAGGACATTAATTCACATTTAGAAGCGACTGATACTCTACCTTCTCCGTGCCTTCATGTCTATTTTCTGGTTAAGCAATTACACTTCCAATTTATGGAGTGCCCACAGAAATGCTGGGTACGGAGCCTCCCACGAGAGAGCATCCCCGAAGGAGCAGATCAGGAAGGAGCACTGACAGTCCCCACATGCTGGGCTCCCCTCTCCTGGGTCCCCTGCCCCTACTTCCTCCCTCCCGCCACATGGTGTCACAGCCTGATCTTTACTTCTCTCCGTATTAGCTCTTCACTAGAAAGGGGCAACTCCTACTGTGGCCAAGAAAGTTGGACTTTCTTAGGTCCAGTGAGACTTGAGGCCTCAGTCCTGGTCCTGGGATCTTCAGCAGAGCCATTGGTCACCCAGGTCCCTACACCTGAAAGAAGAGATCAGGGTCTCAAGAGTCATTTTTCTACATGGGTTGCATACACTTCATAATACAGCCACCTGCTTCTGATCGTTGTTACAGAGTAGCACACCGCACAATACCAGTGTGTAGACCATCAGACTGTCTTTATTGGCTTTAACTTGGGTTTGGTCGTAAAGCTAAATGTTAGACATGCTCGCTTCCCTTGGTCTGCACTTGTCTTCTCACAGATTATGTTCCTCTCACAACCTAAGGGCACGCTGGCCCTCAGGTAAGGAAAGCTTAGCAGCCAGACCTCAGAATGGAGGGAAATGCAGGAAATGCACTGCCATGCACATTCTTCTTAAAGCATCTCAGCCCTTTCACGATGCTTCGCAAAACTGATTTACAAGAATGGAGACATACACAGGCCTGTATGGCGTCTAGTACCCATTTCAGCCACCTGGTCTAAAGGGGATGGAGGTGTGGGAAGTGATGTTAGTAATTCCAAGTAGTAAATGATTTTTAGGCCTTCTAGTTAGTTTGACAATGTGTTTCTATATTATTACATATATTTCGATTTGGTTCTGGTTTACTCTTCTGGGGATTGACAATACTTTGTCAAAAAGTGAAACCAAGCTACAAAATTATGACACGGAAATGAATCCCATTACTCTACCCCATTTCCCACTCGAGTGTGCTCCCTGTCCCTCTGCACGTCGGAGACTTACTGCATCTGGGCACAATAATCCACAATGTCAGCATCAGAAAAAAAATATATATACATCCTCCTCTCCCCTCTGCTTCTTTAAACCTGCTATCCTCAAGCTCGTAACTTTGCTGGGGAAAGCGGGGAAAATCAGAGAACTCAGGTTCACAACACTATCTCTTTTAGGTCCTTTAAGGGTGAAAGTAAGCAGAGATGGTGACGGCAAGTTCAAGTCACCCAAGAAAGCTAGCTAGATAATAATGTCAAGAAGAACCAGAAAGTGAATTTTCTCCCTGCAAAAACTGTGATACACAGTCCTCCCCAAAATCACTGGAAACGGACATTAACAGCGCGTAGCTGAGAATGTTTGTGTTCCTCTTGTAATGTTATGCAAACCCCAAAGAATGAAAGAAAACCACATCTTTACTTTGTTTGTTTTATAAATGCTCTTACATGAGCAGTATGATTTGCTACAGCTCAGTTAATAATGGGATATAATGGTACTCTTGTGGGAGGGGAGGAAATACTCTAGTACTCTGAAGTACTAGCATTCTCAACATGAAACTCCACAAAGGGAGAAGAATTCCTAACCCTTAAAGTAATATACACATGTGCCCACGTACAGATGTGTACACACACACTCACGCACATACATAAATATGTATTACTATTTGAGCACCTGGGTGGCTCAGTCAGTTAAGCGCCTGCCTTTGGCTCAGGTCAGGATCCCAGGGTCCTAGGATAGAGCCCTGCATCTGGCTTCCTGTTTCTCCCTCTACCCTTCCTCCTGCTCGTGTTTGTGCTCTCTCAAGCTCGCCCTCCCTTTCTCTCTCACACACAAAAATAAAATATTTTTTAAAAGGAGTATTACTAGCATCTTTGTGCTCCTTTCTTTAATATGTAAATCTAAATAATATAGTCACAAGAAATAAAACATCAGTAACCCTTTAAAAACTGAAATGAGGGACGCCTGGGTGGCTCAGTTGGTTGGACGACTGCTTTCGGCTCAGGTCATGATCCCGGAGTCCCCGGATCGAGTCCCGCATCCGGCTCCCAGCTCACGGGAAGTCCGCTTCTCCCTCTGACCTTCTCCTCGCTCATGCTCTCTCTCACTGCCTCTCTTTCAAATAAATAAATAAAATCTTTTAAAAAAAAATGAAAACTGAAATGACTACAATGGATGGATCCAAGGTTGAAGTCGCCTCAACATTATAGTGATTCTACCAACCCTACACCAAAATCATACTTTCTTTAGGTCCTATCTTTGGGTTCTGTCTCAAGTATCCTTTGTATTAAAAAAACTACACTGTTCCTTTACAGGCCATATTCAGTAAGTACTGACTCTAGAGAGCCTAAATGTGAAATCAGCCACTGTAGCTAAAAAGTGAGTCTCTGACCAGACTCATCCAGCCAGGACTCATAAATGGCTCAGCCATGTGTCCCCAGCACCCAGCTTAGTTAGTGCCCAGCATGTTCTAGGTGCTCAGCAAAATCTTTGTTAAATTGAACTTAAAATTATACTACAAAAAAGATTCACTCTTTAGACCCTGACTCTATGGGTGACATCTCTCTGGGACTGATATGTGGGAAAACCCTACCACGTTTAGTATTTCACATTAGACATCGTCTCTGCAAAAGCTGATAGTAGCAGTGGTAATATATTTAAGATGATTGGCTTAGTATTTTTAAGTATCTCCAAAAAGGAATACTACTGAACTTCGACGTAGGTTATCTATAACCATAAAAAAATGGTTATATATTCATTTAGTAGCTACATGAACTATAATAGGTTGTTAAGAAATCTTACAAATAAAAGATATTCAAAGTTGGGTGTTATCTCTGCTGGAATTAAAACAAATAGGACAAACAGATACGGAGCCAGAATCCCTAAAGATCAGGTTAAGGAAATCTTCTAATATTATCTGTAAATGATAACACGATGTTATCTTTGATCTTTGCTACAGAAATATCCTCTGCTCTCAACCTCTGATTAATAAGATGTGTGGGTCTGCAATTGGCGCTATCATTGTTAGCGTATTACAGGCCGAAAGCGGGGGACAGTAAGAAATCTTCACAAGTTCCCAAGGGAAGAAAATGTGGACAAAACAAATAATATTTAAGAATGAACTCTTCTGCATTAGGAAAAGTGATAAATATCCCTACTGACCTTCTTCCTAATGAAATATCTTGAGTGGAATCATCTAAACGTTTAATGCTCAATAAATTAATTTAGTCTTAAATGAAAGGTCACTCGATTTTCTTTTCTTTCTTAACCTTGGTAATATATTCATAGGCTTCGAGCCCCGCA